AGCCAACGAGTCGGCGATCAATCAACCGACCTGTTATCAGTGATAACAAAAGATGATCTTCGTGGGATCACGATGAATCCTGAATCAAATTAATCAACGAGGGACCTGTAGCACAAGAGAGGTCAATTCCAAGACTAATACTTATAAGTGTATGAAGAATAAATCTCCATGCCGCGCTCGCACTCAAAATCCTTCTTATAACTGAGTCTAAGTCGACCTCTAAGCCAGTGCCCAAAGAAAGGTAGACCTTTGACAGTATCTCCCCTATACAGGATGAATCACCAGAATCGCCACCTATCGAAATATAATCTAACCCCTTTTAAACTAAGAAAATTATGACAGCGTTTCCTGTAGGAAAAGTGTCTTTTCGGAATTTATACCAACTTAAATATGAAAATAAAACAATATCTAATTCCGGAAAGTCAAATTTTGTCCAACTCCCTGAATTAGTAAAAATTTGGGCAGCATCTCCTTTAGAAAGGTAGACTTCCCAAATTTACACTAAGTCAGATAGGAACTCAGAAGCTAGACTTGAGTTCAACTTCAAGACAAAGTCATGTATATAATTTAGACAAACTGAGCTTTTGAAAGCCAAAATTTGACTAACTCCTTAGTTGTGTAGAAATTCCGGCAACGCTTCCCGTAGAGAAAGTGGCTTCCCATAGAAGAAGAGGAAGAAGATGAAGAAGAGGAAGGAGAAAGGAGGGAGAGAGAGAGAGAGATGAGATGGAGGACGAGGAAGAAGAAGAAGATGATGTCCTCCTCGTTATCTCACCTGCAGGTGGCTACCGCCGCTGACTGGGTCGTCGCCGTGTGCAGGTACCACGCAGAGCTCCGACTATGGTGCTAGGTACGTCCGCCGCTGCAGGTAGGCCTCCACATCTCTCACTCTACCCCGTGCACTCTCCTCCTATCTCAACGGCGTTGTGCTCAAAATAGGGCAGCATGGCCCAACCTCCTTCCAGAAGCGTCTCATTCAAGAAGTGAGCAACCGAACTGTTCTCAGCCCGGCCTCAGCCCAACTATATGTAGCGCTGGGCCGACTGGACAGTCTCAAGTACGGCCTAAAAAACAGCCTACTGAGTCTGATGCAGCGGGGCGCTAAAATGCGCCTGGCCTTGAAAAAGGTCTGGCCCCTGCGTACCTGGTCCAAGGTGTTGCCTTGGGACCTGCAGTCCGAAACGGCGTCTGGATCTGCAGTTCGAAACGGCGTCTGGATCTGCAGTTCGAAACGGCGTCTGGATCTGTAGTCCGAAACGACATCCAGACGGATCCTGCCGGTACCTGTGGCCAAAAAGGACGTTGTGGGCCTCCGGGGTGCGCGCGATGGATGGCGCGTGGCCTGGGGGCCCTTTAGCAACCGTCGGGCCCTTCAAAACAGGGCCTGTGTGCAGGCGCAGCATGTAACATCTAGCCACCTGTCGCACTCCCAACGAATTACAAAAGTCCTTTAGACCCCGCATACGGTTGTTAAGGGGCCCCCAGATTCAGAGGCTACCGCCTGGTACTAGGGAGTTCGTGTTACAGCACAAGAAAGAGATTGCTGAAGTGGTAGAGAACCTCAAGAAAGCCCATCATAGGATGATAGAGCAAGCCAATAAGCACCGTCACCCGTCACCGTTCCAAGTAGGCGACTTAGTCTAGGTCAAGTCTAAAGAGTTCGCTCCTGAGGAGAAAATCTCGCAGAAACTGTTGCATGCGTATAGAGGGTCGTGGCTAGTCCTAGAAGTCAAGGGCGGAGATGATGAGCCGTCATACACAATAGAGATCCCAACACACCTCCATACATATCCAGTTTTCCATGGAGGTCAATGATTCCTCCAGATATGGACAGAAGGTACGACATTGATCGCATAGTAGATGAAGATGCGTTCAGAACAGGAGGCAGAGGTCATCCATAGAAACAGTACAAAGTCAGATTTGCTTACCAAGAGCCGGAAGACGATCGCTGGTTTACACGGACAAAACTTCTAGAGACTGCTCCCGACATAGTCCGAAAAGGTAAACATCCTATTGTAAATTGAGTTATTCTCGGAGGACCTCGAACTTAGGCCGGCGGGAGTGAAACGGTTTTCACCTTTACGGTAGCAGATGCAATTCCCAGGGCTCGATCCCCAGACCTCGCCCTCACCCGTGTACAGTATCAATTGGCCCGTGTGAGTTTGAACCTGCAACCTGTGTCTTGAAAGTCTTCCTTTTGCTTGTTGTAGGTAGTGTGGTCGTGGGGTCTCGAAACGTAGGTCTGTAGGTTAGAAATCTTAGCAGTGGTAGAAGTCATAGCTGCTACAGTACCGAAAGGTCAAGGTCGTAGCTGCCACAGTACCAAAGTGTCAAGTCCGCAGTCTTCCGGAGGATCCGGAAGTGGCCTTTCGGAGTGTCAGTCTACAGTCCATAGGCAAGTGGGCAAGTGGGCAGTCTAACCCAGCCCAGTCAGCGGTGCCCAGTCCCGGTCACCCTTTGTCAAGTCGGCAAGTACCGTGTGGGACTGTTTGCTCCCCGAGCCCAGGGTCCAAGGGCAGACCTTTGACAATCCAAAGTATAAATAAAGATGTAGCGTCAAGGCATTCATTCATTCTGCCTGTGAGCCATGCGGAAGCGCTGCCTGAGTGTCTTGTGCAAGGAGGTTTGAAGGTGCCCGTAGGAGAAGTGGGCTGAGAGGAAGGAGACGCGGCCATAGCCGCTGGTGCTGTTAGTGTAGGAAGAGGGAGCCATAGCTGCCATAGCTTAGTGGTAGTGCAATCAGACTCGTACTCATTCACACTTTTCATGCATGTAAACAGCAACGCAGCAAACTGGCGACATGCGCCCAATCAAAACTCAGAGATATGGCTTCTAGCTACGAGTTCACTCTCAACTGGCTATGGCGTCTCAGCGCCCAAACAACTCATTGTTCACATACACTGGATCACCCTGGATATCCCACACGCATCACTCTGAACACTCGAACACACACACACTTCCTACTAACTACAGCTATGGCAGCTATGGCTGCCTCTACCCTATCGCTATACTAAGCTCCTTCTCCCTTGCCCACTGCGTCCTCCGGGCTCATCTGCAGACCTCCTTGCACAAGTCGCTTGTGGCAGCGCTTCCGCATGGCTCACGCAGGAATGAATGAAAGGCTGGGCGCTGCCTCTTGCTTTATACTTCGGAAACTCATTGGTCTGCCCTTTGCCATCGGCCCATGGTGCTCACAGTCCCCCGTGGTACTTGCTGGACCGGACTGGGACTGACTGGACCTTACCGCTGACTGACTGTGGACTCACTGCTATCCTACCGAGATCGCACTGCGATTGCACTGCAGTTTAGTCCACCACTTGCTTTGCCACTTGACCACTTGACCACTTGACCACTTGCCTACCTTCTAGAAGGACTACAGCTAGACTTCTGGAACTTGCTAAGACTTCTATTCTATAGACCTACAGATCGAACCCCTGCTGCCTACGGACCTACGACAGACCTACCACTGTCTACGAATACACAGGTCGCAGGTTCAACTCTCGGGGTCTACACAGATACTGTACACGGCTAGGGTCAGGTCTAGGGATCGAGCCCTGGGTACTGCATCTGCTACTGCTAAAAGGTGAAAACTGTTTCACTCCCGCCGTCCTAAATTCGAGGTCCTCTGAGAATATTTCAGTCCAAGGAAGGACCTTTACCTTTCTTATCACGTTCATAGGCTCTGACTATGTCGGGAGCTGTTTCTAGAAGTTCCGTTCTTGTGAACCAGCGTTCGTCTTCCGGTTCCTGATAGGCAAACCAGACCTTATACTGCTTCTGGGGACGACCTCTACCTCCTGTTCTAAACACATCCTCTTCTACAATACCTTCAATGTCATAGCTTCCGTCCATATCCAGAGGGATCATAGATCGTCTTGAAGGGAACTGTTTGCTTGTGACACATGGCAACAACTTTGAAGCGTGAAAGACAGGATATGTATGGAGGTGTAATGGAATCTCTATAGTGTAGGACGGTCCATCCTCTCCGCCCTTGACTTCTAAAACTGGCCACGGTCCTCTATACGCAGGCAGTAACTTCTGCGAGATGTTCTCCTCAGGTGCAAACTCTTTAGCCTTGACCCAGACTAAGTCGCCTACCTGAAACTGCGACGGGCGGCGGTGCTTATTAGCCTGCTCTATCATTCTATGTTGGGCCTTCCTGAGGTTTTCAACAACAGTTGCTAGTTCTTTCTCGTGCTGTATCGCAAACTCCCTGGTACCTGGCGGAAGTCTGTGAATCTGATCCCGGTTCAGTCCTTCGAATGGTCTACGCGGTCTAAAGGACTTATGCAGCTCATTGGGAGTGCGACAGGTGGACAAATGCACGCTGTTGTTGTATGCGCTAGCTACCTTGGGCAACATTTCGTCCCAGTTGATCTGATCAGGTCTAATGTACATGCGCAGAACTTGCTGTAGGATCTTGTTCATCTGTTCGGTCTGACCGTTAGTTTCTGGATGGCGGTCGGGCGACATTAACAACTTAGATCCGTAGACTCTCATGAGTTCTTGCCTGTTTTGGCTGGTAAAACGACTATCTCTATCGCTAACTATTGACAATAGGATTCCATTCTCACTAACCCAAAAGTCAAAAAACTTATGTATAACTAAGTCTGTTCGTGCCTCTGCAGGCAACGGAACAAAAACTGCGTACTTACTAAATCGGTCAACTATGACCATGACTTGGCTTTTACCATGTCTGCTCTTGACTTGGGTGTCCATGAAGTCTATGGACACTGAGTCTCCCGGCTGATCCAGAATAGGCAAGGGTCTGAGAAGACCTAAGGGCGCGCGTGTAATAGACTTATTCCTCCGGCACACTTTACAACTGTGGACATACTCTATGCACTCGTTCTTCATCCCTGGCCAGGTATATGCACGCATCAGATTGGCTAGACTCTTTTGCCAACCGAAATGTCCCTCAGTGTCATGGCATTCCCCTAAGATCAAATTGCGGATCTCCTCGCTGTTGGGAACGCACAGGTGGTCAAACACATTAGTCTTCTCAAACAGCAACCCGTCTGTAGTGCGGTAATCTGGTTCAGTCTCTAGGGCCTCTCTAACTCTCTTTAGGAGGTCGATGTAGATAGGGTCCTACGCATACGCTTGCTTTACTTTCTCCTGCAGGTCTCTCCCTATATCCAGATAGTGTACTAAAGCTCCAAAGTAGTCTGATCTCCTACTCAGAGCGTCCGCAACTACGTTGTACTTGCCCTTCACTGGCTTAAGCTCAAAGTCATACTGGTCTATCTCTGCGGCCCACCTAGTTAACTTAGAAGTCATCTTGGCCTGGGTCTTTAACCATCTAAGGGTCTCATGATCAGAATACACTTTGAAGTGCCTCCCAAGCGGGTAATGCTTCCAATGGTCTAGAGCCTGCCGGAGAGCGTAGAGTTCTCTCTCGTATGTCGAGGTGGCTACCTTCTCTGAGGGCATCCTCGCGGACATGAACTCTACAGGTCTACAGCCATGACCGTCATCCTGTTGCCACACGGCGCCTATTCCATAATGACTTGCGTCCGTGGTGACGACAAATGGCAAGGACGGATCAGCTACTTTGAGGACAGGATACTCTATTAACGCGCGCTTCAACCTCTTTAGCGCAGACGTACAGTCTTTGTCCCATTGCCAGATTGCCTCTTTCTTGAGCAACCTGCGCAGGGGAGCGGCGATAGTGGAGAAGTTCCTCACGAACTTCCTATAATAGTTGGCTAGGCCTAGGAACGACCGCAATTCTATCAATGTGCGGGGCGTCGGCCAGTCTCTAATTGTCGCTATCTTGTTGTCCTCTAACTTAATGCCATCTCCGTCTAGTACGTGGCCTAAGTACAGGACTTCTGTCTTGGCCCACTCGCACTTCTTCGTAGCTTCTCGTAGCTTCTCCAAGACCTGCCTCAGATGACCCTGGTGCTCCTGGAGGGTCTTACTAAAAACTATGATACCATCTAGATAGACTACTACAAATTTATCTAACCACGGTCTAAACAGATCGTTCATACAACGCTGAAAGGTGGCTGGCGCGTTGGTTAGTCCAAAGGGCATCACTATGAACGCATAGTGCCCATATCTAGTCCGAAACGCAGTCTTGTACTGGTCATCAGGATGGACCTCTATCTGATGATAACCGAACTTTAAGTCTATCTTAGAAAAATACTTACAACCCTGCACCCGATCTAGGAGATCGTCTATCTTGGGCAACGGCTCAACATTCTTCACTGTAATAGCATTCAACCCCCTATAGTCTATGCACATTCTCAACTCTCCTTCCTTTTTGGAGACAAATAGAACTGGCGCTCCAAAAGGAGACGAACTGGGCCTGATCCAACCCTTCTCAAGGAGTTCGTCTAATTGCTTGCGAAGCTCCTCTAACTCTCTAGGGGACATCCTGTAGACTGCGCCCTTAGGAGTTCTACTGCCAGGCTCTATCTCTATCCTGTGCTGGATGGGTCGCGACACTACTCCTGTCGGCGACTCAGTCAAATCTTTGAACTATTCCAGCAGCTTGGCAATCGTTGGATCTGTGGAACTATCCTTTTCCTTGGCCTCAGTGACAGGTCTAACATAAACTACAAAGACCTGGTCCTCTAACTGCTCCTTTTTCACTAATCGCTCAAACGTGGGAGCACTGAGACAGCAATGTGCCAAGGTGTTGTCTACACCTGACACATGAAACAGGCGGGCGGTCTTTACCTCACCTGATGGACTAGGGAGCCTACACTCGTGCTCTCTCAAATGGAGTGTGGCCCCTGCTGCCTCTCCCCAATCCATTCCCAGTACTCCATCGAAAGGAATGGAGAACTTTCTCCACTTTCCCATCCTTCTCTAGGCGAAAGTACGCCTGGACTCCAACACGCATCGTGCGGTTGTCTGCGAGGACACTGACTATGGGGTTTACTTACTTCTGGACTTTTAGTCCTAGCCTCAGCTTCTTCAGCGCCCCACGACTAATATAGTTGCGGGTGGCCCCTGAGTCTATAAGGGCCCCTACTCTACTCCTGAAAACCTCTACGTCTACCAAAATCAGTTGTCCCTTGCTCTCCTTCTTCATCTTGGCCCAGGCTGGCATCCTCTCCTTTAACTCTTCTGCCACACCTGTGAGGGACGTGCCTAAAGAGACGCTAACACAAGCAGTCTCTGGACAACTATCTAGGCACGGGCCTGCAACCTCTGCCATAGGCTCATGTGGGTTGGGAGTGTCCTGTTCGCGCGCGCTCACTTCTCCACATGGCCCTGAAGTAGGGGCAGTTGCGACCCCTACTGGCGGCTGCCTTTTGACGACTGAGCAGCCCGACGGGCCTGTCTATACTTTGGACAAAATTTTATTACGTGAGTTGGGTCACCACAAAACACGCACTGACCCATGTTGACGCGTTCCTGCGATAAACGTTGGTCCGAGCCCAAGTCTTCCTAGGGCCTGCCCTATGGCAAGCCTGGGTGTCATCCTCCTTGAGGTGCCCTTCCACCTCTTCGCTGTGGGGACCAATTGCCCTGGCGATTTGACGGGGGGCCTTGGCCCCTACCTCCCACTTGGCGGTTTCCCTGTCCGCCAACCCCCTGTGCGCCCGGTCCACGGCCTCCCATGGCCTGGCCCCTTTGGCCCTGGCCTCCTCCTCGACCTTGCGGCCTCCCTCCAACCGCAACAGCAGCATAAGACCTCCCCTGTCCCACACTACTGTCCTCCTCCTCTAGGCCCCACTCAATCTGACTATACGGGACCTCATCAATACCACCTTCCTCTAGCGTCAGGATCATGTGATCCTTGGCCCTTACTTGGCCTGAGATGGTACGGCCTTTCCGCTTCTTCCCCTTGCCCAAGTCCTTATGCCAGAAAGTGGTAACTGGCGTGGACTTCGACTCATACAGGACGACTTCTCTACTCAGCGCATCATAGGTGATGCCGGCCTGTTCAGTCTTGTCAAAGAAGTGCCCACACAGGGCCTCTCGCATGGCACGATAAAATAACTGGACCAATTGGGTCTCAGTGACCCCATGGTCCGGGACGTCTACCAAGTCGTCCATGGTACCCTTGAGTGCCCTGGCACTCCTCCACTGTCGCGAGTGGATTGTTTGCAGCTTGTCAGAGGCTCTAATGCCTCTCGTTGGGTCAGCAAATCGCTCCTTCAGGAGCTTGAGGAATTGGGAAGGAGGGGTGACTTTTGAATATGCAACCAGGTTGTTTTCACAACCGGCTGCGCGCGCAAGAGACCTGGCGAAACTAGCCGCTTCATCCTTGAGGGCCTCGAAGGCCACGAGGACTTGCTCGTCAATCAGGATGTGCTGTAAATAAATATAACTATTGACACTGGCTTCCCAGTTGTCAATGTTTTCATCCTTTTTTCCCCCGTACGCATCTGGGAACTTAAGTTTCACTGGGTCCTTACGGGGTTTGGCCTCTCCCTCTACAGCGGCTATAGCTTTGGCACCCTCAATGGCGCCCTCACAAAACTTCCCTTCATTGTCCCTCAACTGCTTTACTTCGCCCCCAATGTGGGTGACGATCTCGCGCGCAAACTCCCTAAACCCTGACCACATGGCACTCAACGCTACATCTTGGCTCCAACTAGCCTGGCGCTCCTCCATCCGGGCCTTGCTCAAGACTTCCAGGTAACCCAACACCTTGTCCCACTTGGCCTTATCATCAGGTTGGGCCAACACTTCCTGCCTGCACTCCTGCACCGTTGCTACCTCTGCGGTCATTTTGTTTACTTCCTCTCTCCTCCTCTTCTTTTCCCTCTTCATCCTCAGCTTCCATGCTAACTTCTGCTCCTCCTCCCTTTCTTGCTGTTCCATAGGGTTTGTCATTGCTGCTAGCTCACTGGCTAGCGCAGCCCTCTCATCCTCTGACACATAAGACTCCGCCTCCTCCTCTTCTCCCAACGATAAGTTAGCAACCCACTCACTTATTTTTCTCTCCATCTCTGCGTCTATATCTCTCTTCGTGCCACTACTCCCCTCTCTACTCTCAATACGCATTCTTTCTTTTTGTTCTTCTGCTGCCGCTTCTTCTTCAGCAACCTTCTTCCTTTTCTCCATCTCCTCCTCCAATTCTTTCATCTTCGCCGCCTGTTCGTCTGCGATAGCCTTTAGCTTCGCTTGCTTCTCGTGCTCTTTTCTCTTCCTATTCTCCTTAACTAAGGCGGCCATCTTCTCTTGCTGCTCCTTGCTATAGGGGCTAGTATCTAACCCACTACGGGTCTCAACCATGGTGATAAGTGCACAACCGGGTGGCGGTTCCAAACCTCACCACGTTGACTCTAACCCCTGACTTATAGACCTACTGACTCAACCTAAGGACTCACAGAATCCTGACAAGGATCCTGTCAACTATGGTCTCTAGCCTAGACCTAACTATGGCTGTCACTACTAGACCTTTGCTGATCAGGAGGCATTTAAGGAGATCCCCCAAACTCCGCAAGAATTCTTTAACGTCGCAGACAGGACGACGTGATCAGCTTGGTCTGGCCTGTTGCATCAGCCCACAACTCAGCCTTTCGGGCCTACCGTGCCACACCTAGCAGCCCGCCGGTCAGTACCGGTCCTTGGGAGGGTTTGACCTTCGGACAGTCGAGTCGTCAGACACGGCCTTTAGCCTTACTGGGTCCGGTAGGGGTTTGGGTCAACAAGGCCCTCAACACTTAAGACTGCCTGTTGCGTCAGCCCACGTCTCCGCCGTTCAAGCCCACCGTGTCACGCCCAATCCAAGCCCCGCTGGTCAGCACCGGTCCTTGGGAGGGTTAGGCCTCCGGGACAGTGAGATTAGACACGGTATCAGCTCTACTAAGTCAGATAGGGGTTTCGTCATACAGGCCCTATCCTTCATCCACATAGTACTATCACCTAGGACAAAAGAGACTCGATGCAGAAAGAATAGACAGACAGACTGTACTCAGCAAGTACCAAGGGGTATGTGCACATCCATAGGGCAAGGGGTAGGCTCAGGGCTTGGCGAGATGTTACCAACTCCAGCTTGGTCAAAGTTTTGGTCAAAGTTTTGGTCAACGCCTTGGTCAACGCCGGTCAACGCTGCTGTCAACCCTCGGTCAACCCCCGGTCAACTCCGGTAAACGCTGGTCAACACCCCCGGTCAACCTTCTTGGTCAACCCTCCGGTCAGCTATGGCTGCCGGCTCCTCTTCCTCGCCAATCTTCTTCTTCGCTTCACCTCCCTCACCTCCTTTCACCCCGCTGTCTTCTTCTTCTCTATTTTTTTTTTTTTTTTTGTTCACCTCTTCTTTCCTTCGGCTATGGCTTCCCTTTCTCTTCTCGGTCTCCCCCTCTCTGTCCTCTCTCTCTCCCTCCTTCTTTACTCCGTGATGATGCTCTGCGGCTATGGCCGCTTTCTTCCTCCTCTGCGTGGGACTGCACAGCTCGCTTCACTAGTAAGTGACAACCAAACTTGTATCGCTCATCTCTCTCTCTCTCTCTCTCTCTCTCTCTCTCTCTCTCTCTCTCTCTCTCTCTCTCTCT